ATAATAGGCGATTTAATAAATTTAAACACCATGCAAAACTACATGTTTTTTGGATTTAGAGCAGTTCACAATCAAATTTTCACTTGGTATGAAATTTATTTATGGATTTCAGTTCAGTGCATCAAAAGGGACAATGCCTGTTTTGATCTCTTCTTTGTTTGATTGGATCGATGTAGCTTTAATAGTATTATTTTCTCTTTTTTAAAATGGCAATGACCTCGTGCTTCTGCACCTTTTTCTTTTTTTCTTGCATTCTTATTCATTTAATCAGGAAACTAGTGTTCACTATATCCATGTGTCGAGTTTTTGTTGACATCACGATAATCACAATGTAATCAAGCACAAATCTTAATTCAAAGCAAGCTTCTCAAAGAAATTCAGAAAAATTAAAACAATGCTTGGTAAAAGCTTGAACCACCGCATCCTTCAGAAAAAATCTAAAGCAACACAATGAATACAAAGATTCTTTGACAATGTTCTAGGGTTCCTGGGTGTTTAAAATGGATTTACTGAGGAGGTGATTGTAAAATAGCAATGGAACTGAAAACAGAGCATAATATATTTATATTAATTCCTAAATTAAACTCTAATTAGAAGAGAATGTAAATGAACGTGCAGCCCACATAGCAAGAAAATCCCACAATAAACATCCCCCGGGACGGTATTAAGTCCTAGTTCCATACCACAATTGAGGGATCCCGCAATCGTGATACCGCCGGGCTAGGTATTGTGGAAGAGCTCTTGCATCACTCCTTCGCCTTTTTTGTTGGAGGAGTCTGAATTCTCATTATAAAGTAACAATTTGACAACTTTAAATGTAGCAGAAATATTGTAGAATCCTGCCAAAACAATTTTGTATGCATTAATCCTCTTAACAATCCTGAAAGAACCGTCTGCTCTAGGCTTGAGTTTCCCAAAAAAGCCTGTGTGAAACTGCTCCTTCAGCCTAATCCATATCAACACACCCTCTTTGAAAGTCATAGCTTTTATGAATTTATTAACTCGCTTCTGATACTTGGTGTTTTTTAGTAATTTCCTTATTTACATGGTCATATAAGCTCTGAATATCTGACTCTAACATATGTATTAGTGCTAAGCTCAATAGCTTAAAATATTGGTACTAACGCCAATGGTGCGATAAGATTTCATCAGTATACAATCTCAAAAAGACTGTGCCTGGTGGCCTGCCAAGTGGAACGATTGTAGACAAACTCCACTTCAGGGATAACTAAATCTCACTGTCGAATGTTCTTTCGCACTCAGCATCAAAGGAGATTTTCCATACTGCGATTTGCAACCTCTGTTTGTTTTTCTATATGAGAGTGTGATGTTGCTTTGTAGCTAACTTATAGAATAAAATCCTCCATAAGTGGTTGAAAAATTTCATGTTCCTGTCTAAAGTAATGCTCCTGAGTAATATGAAGACAACAACTTCTTGAAGTATATGTCTGCAGTGTGTGATGTGTCCATCGTCTTGTGGCAAGAAACAAAATATTTTATCTTGAAGAGACGATCTACCAAAACCATAACAAATCCTTAATCCGCAGCGTCTGGGGTAAGCTCGACACAAAATCCATGCTCATGTCCAACCAAGGTGCCTTTAGAACATAAAGGGGAGTGCATAAGCTTGTATTTTGTCCTCGAGACTTTCTCAAATGACATATATTGCATTGTCTAGCGTGTATCTTCACATTTCATACCAATCTAGGCCAAAAAAAATTCTCTTTTACGAAGGAAATGATTTAACTCTGCCAAAATATCTTATCATCCATCCATAATGACACTCAAGTAAAATACTCTCCTTAAGTGAACTCAAAGAAATTCATATTTTTTTCTAAAAAGAATAAATATACATCAAATATGTGATAATGTTCATACGGTCTATCCTTACACCGTGTCTAAAAAATCAGAAAATTCTCAGCAACTACATACAATTCTTGCAATAGCTCAAAAAAAACTACCTTAAACTATATAATAGTGATTAATAAGTGGCAACAACTCAATAAATATGCTACTTTGTTCAGATTCTTTGCTTTATATTTGAGCACAAAATAGAATGAACAGAAAAATTCTACCCACAAGGCGCTCCACCCTTCAGTTTGCTCCGATTATTCAAGAATTTTAGGGCATCATGATCAATGTAAAGAATAAAATCATCTACAAATAGATAACAACTTTAGTGACTAAAGGCTAGCACGATGACATATAACTCTTTATCATGGTTAGTGTATAGTCTTGTGGAATCATTCAACTTTTCATGAAAGAAGTAATATAATGTCCTCCTTGATTCAACACAGCTCCAATTTTCAAATTGGAGGAATCACACTTCACCGCAAATGCTTGGTTAAAATCTAGAGATGCTAGAACATGAGATGGAGTAACATGTTTCTTTAGAGCATCAAAACTAATATGTCTATCCTCTGACCATGAAAATCTCTCTAACTTGAGAAGATCGGTCAAGGGGATCATGATTGACATGATTGAGCTGAAATTCCCGATAAATCTCCTGTAAAAAGAAGTCAGAACATGAAAATGTGTATAAGTAAATGAATGGGGTTTAGGCCATGCCACAATAGTATCAATCTTCGCTTGATTCATCTCAATGTTAGCAGCTGAAACAATATACCCGACAAAAAGCGTTTGTGATGTAAAAAAGTAACACTTCTTTTAGTGACCATATAATCGTTTTGTATATACAAATTTTAAAAACATCTTATAAATATTGTAAATGTTCTTCTTTTGAAGACTTTACACTAGACATCGTCAAACTATACAATCAAAAAAAAAATTTGATGAAATTCAAAATTCATTAGTCGCATGAAGATGTCAGGTGCATTGGACATGCCAATTGACATGGTTTTCCACTCATACAATCCATCTCTTATCATAAAAGATGCCTTTACTCGTTCCATCATTTTTGTGCATAATCAAAGCTAGCACAAAAACTGGATTGGTACTCTTAAGGATAAGTCCTCAAGCCATTAGATCATCAACCTATTTTTGTAGCATCTTATATTTAGTTGGTTGCATCCAATAAGTTGGTCGGTTGGGGAGCATTGACCTTGGAAAAAATCTATAGTATGTTGAATCTCTAGTAGGGGTGACAATCCAAGTCACAGACTATCTATTAGAGCATCATGAAATTCCTCTAATAAGAGTCGCACTGCCTCAAGTATCAGCTTCTTTGTATCACCGTCTTCTAACATCACCAAAGCCAGTCTCACTAACACCACTCTCATAGCCTGTAAAAATATGGCACGTGACACTAAAGCTCGTCTTTGTATGAGTACTCATCACTACTAACTCCTTTAATGGCAAAAGTACAATAGGTTTTTCAACCTTAAAAAATGTATGTGTTTTTGTGATCATCATGAAGCATACCCTTGTCATACTATCATGATTGACCCAAAAGAATGTAACATGTATCAATAGGCATGATATCACACCAAACATAATCTTGTAGTTTGCTTTCAATTGAAAACTCTAGCAACCATCTCTTATCAACATTGATCTCATTCTCCTTCTTCAACCAAGACAAAAAATATGGCTAGAAATATTTTTGTGTGATGCTTAATTTGTTAAACGCTTGTGTAAATAAAATATTTTCGCACTTACCTTCATTTATAATGAGACTGCACACATTCCCCCTCAAAATACAATGATTGCAAAATATAATATGTATGAACCACTGTTAATCCCTCTTAGGCTAAGTGTAGAGAACGTATCGAGCCAAAAGCATCTCACCATCATCTGTAGGTAGCTCGAATTCTTCTCCAGTCTCCTCTGGGCCTTCCCTCTACCTCTTCCACTGTGTCCTGCTCAGTAAATAAAATTACCTTTTTCTTCAAGCAATTGGATGCAATATGCCCATATCCATGACATTTGAAATACTTCTTGGCTGAAAATATTTTAGGGGTGTTGGCCTGGTCAATCCTCTTTTTACTTTTATGGTGATATCTCTTCATGAGAAATAGTTTTGGGTACTTTGGTAGGTGTGTTCTTGCGGTGTTCTTGCTATGTGATCTGATGGTTAGACCCGGTGTGAAGGTGGTGTAGACTCGATACAGTTATCTCTAATGGGGTTGCAATTATATCACATTGCCAATAGACAATCTTAATCCCCCAAGATGTCGTGTTGTGGTGTTCTCCTTGGGTTCCATTAGTCCGCACTTCAACATAAATTGCTTGAACTCAATATTATACTCCTCCACTGAAAGAATTTTCTACTGTAAGTAATGAAATCTCAAAAACAAATGTTTGTAATATATTTAGCGCGACAACATCCCGCATGGATCAAGTGATTTTGCTCCCGCTAGTACCGTGGTCTTGCAGTTCAATAGTTGGTGGAACACTCACGATTATGGGAGGACTAGTTGG